AGGGTCCGCTTCGTACTTGCTGCTTCCCTCTCCTCTCGCTCAAACCCTTATAATGAGTAGAACGAGCTCTACTATCTTCTTCATAAATTCTACAACACTCGGTCAAATCCGAAAATCTTCGTATCCTTTGATAACCCACCGCTTGCTTTATCTCCGGACGCAAGCCATTCTCATACTTGATACATTTGGAAAATTCCGCCGTAACCGCATCATAGTGAGGGTGAAACTTCACTAACTCAGTAAACTTAGCGGTGTAGTCCACCACCGACATATTACCTTGTTTCAACTCCAGAAATTCCATTTCTCTCTTCCCTTTAACACTTTCGGGATAATACTTCCTTAGAAACTCAGCACGAAATAAATCCCACGTAATCTCCTCGTCGTCGACCTCAAGAACTTGCCTCATGCTGACCCACCAGTCATCGGCCTCTTCTCTCAGCATGTGAGTCCCTAGTCTCACCTTATTCCCTTCAGCACAATCCATCACCCTAAAAATTCTCTCAATTTCCTTTAACCATATCTGAGCACCATCCGGATCAAATCTCCCTTTAAACACCGGTGGTTGGTTCTTCCTGAACTCATCATTCGCATTCACGTTAGGTGCACCCTGCACAGCTCTGGCCATAGCCTCTAACGCCGCTGCCATAGCATTGTCATTACGACCTGCCATATTCTGAGGATTCCCAAAAATAACAACAAGGTTAAACAACCGTTCAACCAACACAACAACAAGACAGACACGACTGACTCAACACTGGCTCTGATACCACTTAATGTAACACCCCCTTTATATACCCCAAATAAATTAGATAAATCAATTAGGCACATAGAAAATTTATTTCATCAGAGTTTGATTAAAACATGGTATATAAGAGGCGCATCACATTATCATGAAATTAAACACATACGATACCTGCTCAAAATAGATATGCAACAATGGGTAACCCACATCTCAATATTTAGAATAAAAGCGGAAACATCCAAATATTGAATCAATCACATTCATAAAGGTATATACAACCATCAGTTAATTCATGCTTTACAACATATCCACAGCAGATACATACACATATGTATCACAAAAGAATCAAAACAAATGTAACTCCAAAAGAGTCAAAGGCTTCCTAACTACCCAGATGTTACATATTAGAGCCATTGACCAAAAAGAATGAAGACATCGCTTCACAAAAAGAACCTCCAGCTTCCTACTCTGCAATGCCTCATAGAGCATTAGAAAACAGCAGAAGGGTGAGAAACAACATCATAACAGTTAATGCATAAAATTGTATATATACATAACTCCATAATTATACAAGTTATACTCAAATTATGTTCTCACCACATTAAGCATATACAAATAATCATGTCTCTACACATACACATGAACATTCACTATATTTTCTCCAAACAGTCACATAAAACATACACAGTTATATTCACACAACCAATGCATCATACACAGATGACTCATGCAACTCATAGAGACCGACACACGACTCTATGCAGATGCAAATGCGGTACCGACTCATTCAACAAATTCCCTAAGGAATCGAGTATTCAGCAGATCCTCCACGGGATCAAGTACTCAACAGATTCTCCACGGAATCAAATATTCATCAGATTCTCCACGGAATCGAATATTCAGCAGATCCTCCACGGGATCAAGTACTCAGCAGATTCTCCACGGAATCAAATACTCTAACCAATCCTCCACGGGATTACATGTTATGACTGATTCTCCGAGGAATCACACAATGCAACCGATTCTCCAAGGAATCACTCAATGCAACCGATTCTCCACGGAATCGAATATAACCATCGTATCATACGAGGTTCTACAAATCCTCCACGGGATCAATCACTAAATGCATACTATGTTCACAAACGTACTCATTGCATTTATCACATACATCACATATATTCATTATGCATTCACATCATACACCATTTCACACAAGGTTTACATACCTATTAATCCATCAATGCATTTCTATCTAATTCGAGCAAACGCACAACATTATCAAACGATTAAGATTCACAATCGGCTCCACAATCTAGGATTCACGCCTTTCGGCCACCCACAGCACAACATGTTGAAACAGTTCACACATCAATCATTCATATATGCATTAATCATAATTGAATCAACGAAACATCATGCCATGAACAAAAGCAAAACAAATAACACTGCCAGGTTCGCCAACCTTCGCCTGGCGAAGCCACGCAGCGAATGCTCGCTGGCCTTCGCCTGGCGAACTCCCCAGCGAAGTCCACTGGGAGTAATTCTGGAATTACTCGCTGAGGCTCGCTACCCACTCGCCTGGCGAACCTTCGCCAACTCACCTCGCCTGGCGAACTTGCCAGCGAATACAGGGTATTAGCTTCTGACTTGCTTCGCTACAGCTCGCTGGGCTTCGCCTGGCGAAGCTTCGCTGCCTTTCGCCTGGCGAACTTGCGAAGACAGAACTTCCATGGCTGTCTCAAAGCCCAAACTCCACACAACCAACCGATTAAATCCAAACCGGTCACAGTAGCACAACCCAACCATCACCCGACTAAACTACATCGTCTAATCCGATTTCTAACCGATTAAAACCTCATTCTACTCACAAAACCAACTTCTAACCTAAGTGGAAAAGGAGTAGAAACTCTACAAAATCCGCACACATACACATACAATCATACACATTAAAGAGATGATGGAGTTTCACACCCTTACCGATCGATTGCAAGCTTTGGTAATGACTCCTTGATGATTCTAGGTTTTCCTCTCCACTTTCTCCTCTCTTTCTCTTCTCCTCTTTTCTTTCTCTTGTTTTTCTTCTTATGTTACTATCTTCTTCCTTTTTTCCTCTCTTATTCTATTTCTATCTCTATTTCTTTCCTCTCAAATTCTTTCCAACACTTATCAATCAATTCTTACACTAAAGTGCTAAATGTCTAAAATGCCCTTTTTACTCTAATTCCCCGAAAACTCTCTGAATCGGTAAAAATAGATAAAATAAGCAAAACACCACATAGCAATATATAATTTCTCAATTTAAAATAAACATCAATTAAATAAATTAAAAGACTCAACAATTAATGGGAATTCAGAATCGGGGCGTTACACACCACTCAATAAGTTCCCCAAATATTTCCTCGCCTATCCAGTTAGGACGAGTTTGATCCCTTTCCCAATGTTGTCTAGCATTGAGCATGTTAAATAATCTACTAGATACCTTACTTCTAAATATTTTAATTTTTGCCAAGTACACGTTTCCTACAAGTTATATGACAATCAAATAAAATGTTAGATATTTATATAACAAAAAATAATTATAAAATAACATAACTATAATAAAAATATAATTTACCTTGAATTTATCAAATCATATATCTTTCTCAGTATCTGGGATCTCTCCGAAAGACTTAATGAGTTTTGTATACATCAATTGAATGACCCAGTTTACAGCTTTTGCAACAGGCCGACACAAATCAAAACTAAATAACAACAATAATTTGAATAAGTATTAAACATAAAATGACAATATATAGTTAAATAAATATTATAAATTAAAAACTTACCCCGACCCCTCGGGCCTAATAAGACGTGGTCCTTCAACCACCAAAACCCCCCCTGCAACAAGATTTGTCTGCTCCTCATGAACATCGTCATCCTCCTGAATAGGGTGGTCATCTTTCTCCTGACGCGTAGGTATATGTGTGGGGTGTGGAATGCGGGAACCAGATCCCCCCTGACTGGTGCGCGAAGGAAGTCTGCTAAGGAAAACTAGATCCTCCAGGTTGCGACGTAAAGGAATACTGCTGAGGAAAACCAGATCTCCCAGGCTGTGCGAAGGAAGTCTACTAAGGAAAACTAGATCCCCCAAGCTACTGTGTGAAGGAACAATGCTGAGGAAGAAAACTAGATCCCCCCAGGAAAACTAGACGGTACTTGAGGAAAATTAGATCCCCCAAACGGGCTAATAAAAGATGGATTCCCAGATGGAACCGTTTGTGAGGAGGAGAGTAATGTCTTAAATAGCTATGAAGTGTCTACAGACATTAGATCTGCCTGAGTTTGTGGGCGAGAAGCATACATGGGCGAGGGAGGTACCTCACGTACTCTAGCTCTCGAACAGGGTTGGGTCTCCTTAGCCTTACCCTTGTCAGTTCGGGGTGGCATTCTATCTATTTTGAAAGAGTTATCAATAATTAAATCAACATTGTTATCAACACAATATATACACACGCTATGTAAAAATCATTTGCATTCTTATAAAACAAATAATACATTAATAAAAGTTGTTCGAACACATATAAAAACTATCTATTCAAACTCTTCATGCTCTTCATCCATATTATTTTCACCATCTGATCCAATAATGTCCTTAGATCCAAACTCTTCATGCTCTTCATCCACATTATTATCTACCAACAACACAGATGCATCAATTTGATGACCCTCAGCCAATGTATCGCATAAATTTGTAATTTCTTCAACTTCAACCACATCATTAATTTGAGAAATTTCATCGTCTTGGTAAGCAACATCTTCCACTAGATCGTCAGTTTTAATATGACCCAATGGTTTTGTTTTCATTACAACATATCATCCACGTTTACGTGGCTGAATTGAAGGGTACGAAACATGATAAACTTGTTTAACGATATGTGACATTATGAAATGGTCATACTCTTTGTACCTTATGTCCATTCAAATATCAACAGTGTTATACATCTTATCTATTTTTGTGCCCCTGGCAGATGGATCATACCAATCACAATAAAACAAGACAACTCTATTTTCCGAGTCCAAGTAATTGTATGCCAACTCGTAAATATGCATAACAACGCCATAGAAGTCGTCTTCACCACCATCTGTAACTTCTTTAACAAATACACCACTATTTATGGTTTTTTCCTTCTGTCCAAGCCCGGGTGTGAAATTTATAGCCGTTCACAAAGTATGTGTGCCATTCAATTGCTCTTTGAACATGACCTCTAGATAAGTTTCTCTAATGAAGTATTTCTTGAGTCGGTGCAACAATGCATGACAATTGATCCTTGAACCATGCTGGAAAAGATGCTTGTATGTGACCGATAGTTGCTTGTTCACCGGTGCTTTGAAAATAAGAGGCGTTAAATGCCCTATAAAGAAACATACTATTAGTTAGAATGTAATAATTCAATCTGTAAAGCCAGATAGGTAGTTAGGCGTATACTTACTCAAGATATGGCCTAACTTCAACGCGGTTAATTAGGACATGAACATGTGCAGATTGCAATTCTTTTTGGGTTAGCCAATGCACATTCTCCTTTCCAGAGGGGCGACCGGGAAGACTGAAGACTGACAAGGTAAACTGTCTTCTTTTGTTAACATCAAATTCATTCCTTATGACTCTTGGAGTTAACATCAAATGATTGAAATAATGACTGCAAAAATGTGATGTTTCCCGATGCAAGTAATGTGCACATATTGATCCTTCAACTTTAACTTTATTTTTCACTAATCGCTTTGAATCACCCATGAATCTTTCAAAAGGATACATCCACTTGTATTGAACGGGGCCACCAAGATAAGCTTCATATGCAAGATGCACAGGTAGATGCTCCATAGAGTCGAAAAAACCAGGTGGAAAAACTCGTTCCAACTTGCATAGAATAACTGGAAGATTTTGGTCCAACTTAATGATGCTATCGACTCTTAAAGTTGACGCGCACAAATATCTCTAAAAATTTGACTTATTTCAATTAGCGGATATAGCACATGGTTGGGTAGTGAACTGAACGCAATTGGAAGCAATCGCTCCATGAAAACATGGCAATCATGACTTTTCATTCCATGCAACTTCTCAGTTTTTGTGTCAACTTCCTAGTATTTGTGACGTGATAAACACGTGAGAAAGTAGCCACGTGAATACCACGTCGAAACTTTCCTAGTATTTATTACCAGTCAGAACACAGTCAATACATCCAACGGTAAAAAAATAAAAGGCCAAAATAATTTAAAATAATCTAGCGACGTGAGAAGCACGTCGGTATTCTTCCACCGGTCAAATCAAAATTCATTATGTCCCAATGGTAAGAACAAAATTCAGGCCAAAATTAATTAATACCAATTAGCGACGTGGGAATCACGTTGGAACTTTCTCACGTGTTTTCCATGTCGGAACCGTGCAAGATATTTTCCACTTTTTTTTTTCTATTTTTAAATTTCATTTTCTCACGTGGGTACCATGCCACTAATGAAATTCTGGAAAAATTCAAATTTCCCTCCCACGTGAAATCCAATATTTTGATTTTAAACTTTTAATTTTTGTGTTGCGACATGGATTTCACGTCAGAACTATTTTCTAAAAAATAAACCAGCACTCACCATTACGAAACTTGATTTTTTTGTGTTTATTAATAAAATAATACAGTGATGTAATATACACGTCGCAACTTCTATTGTATGTTTATTAAGTTTGACCGAAGATACATCTCCGAAGTTTATAAAAATTCTAATATTTTTGATTAGTGTTCTAATAACAGAGAAAAATAGTAATCGAAGATAATGATTGCCTGATTGGGTTTTAAAGGTTAAGCTTTCCACCGGACAAAATGCAGCAACAATTTCATCGGAGGAAATTCATTTGCATTTGTCACCTCTTAAAGTATTTAGTATTTGAATTTTCTTAAGTAAGTAATATCAACCTCCAAACTAAAAATGAAAGATAGATATTGTATTAACTTTTGTTTTAATTTTTCACTTTAGTTATTTTAGAGATCTAAAATATGTATATCTAAGTTATATAATATAATGTTATTATGCAAAGACAACAATGATTTGTCTAATTTATTTTCTTTAATGAATATTTTAATTGATTTTCATAATATTAATATTTTAACTTGAATTATTTAGTATTTTCATTTTTATTTAAATTAATATTTTCTTAAATTAAAATTTGATATTTAAATTAAAACTATATAAAATTTGATTTAAATTTGAAATTATAGTGAAATCAAATTATTCGATTAATTGAAGAATAACATAATTCTAAATAATTTTCTTATAAATAAAGGCTATTTTATATATATATATATATATATATATATATATATATATATATATATATATATATATATATATATATATATATATATATATATATATATATATATATATATATATATATATATATATATATATATATATATATATATATATATATATATATATATATATATATATATATATATATATATATATATATATATATATATATATATATATATATATATATATATATATAAGAGTGAGGATCAACTTATTTCAAGAGTAATTTTTTAAAATTTATTTTAAATTGTAACCATTAAATCAAATCTAATATATTGGTTAATTAGTATTTTTACTTAATTAACAATTTGATACTATTAGATTATATTCAATTTAAAGACTATAATTTAAAGTAAGATAAAAAAAATTATTCTTAAAATAAGTTAATTTCATATATATATATATATATATATATATATATATATATATATATATATATATATATATATATATATATATATATATATATATATATATATATATATATATATATATATATATATATATATATATATATATATATATATATATATATATAATTAACTTATTTCAAGAGTAAGTTTTTTATCTTACTCTTTTATATATATATATATATATATATATATATATATATATATATATATATATATATATATATATATATATATATATATATATATAAGAGTAAGTTTTTTAACTTTTATATATATATATATATATATATATATATATATATATATATATATATATATATATATATATATATATATATATATATATATATATATATATATATATATATATATATATATATATATATATATATATATATATATATATATATATATATATATATATATATATATATATATATATATATATATATATATATATATATATATATATATATATATATATATATATATATATATATATATATATATATATATATATATATATATATATATATATATATATATATATATATATATATATATATATATATATATATATATATATATATATAGGGAGAGGTGTAATATGTGAAACAATATTTTTTAACGATACTTTTACTGAAGTAACAACAATGCGAAAAAATAAAAATAAAATTGGAAATAGATATTGAAAACTCATCGAAAATGGGAGAGATTGTGACAACAATAGATATACAAATTCAAATGTTGGCAGCGATGCTGACAATAATAGAACGAAGACTGACAACGATATAAATGGATGACTATGGTAAAGATGAAAATTTAAAGAAAGAGAGAGTAGTGAGGTGTAATATGTGAAACAATATTTTTTAACGACACTTTTACTGAAATAACAACAATACGAAAAAAAAAAAATTGGAAATAGATATTGAAAACTCATCGAAAATGGGGGAGATTGTGACAACAATAGATATACAAATTCAAATGTTGGCAGCGATACTGACAATAATAGAACGAAGACTGACAACGATATAAATGGATGACTATGGTAAAGATGAAAATTTAAAGAAATTGAGAATAAATAAAGAAAAAGAAATATTAATGTTTTGCTAAAAATAACACCAGAAATTTTAAAATTGTTCAAATTTTCAAAAATGTCACCATTTTTTATTTTCATATAAATTACAACTATAATGGATGTGATAATTCATGAAGTTTTTGATAAACATGATGAAAGCTAAGAGAGAATAAGAACTCAATGGAAATGAAAAAATGAAAGTGATGGCGTTTTTATTAAATCCATTTCAGAGTTAGTTACATTTGTGTATTTATAGTTGCTAAGTTTTCTAACTAACTTTAACAACCTATTAACTGGATTAACTAACTCTATATTTCTATAACATTATACATGTGATGCATTTTAATAATGGTGTAACTAGAATAACATCTCGTCTAAGCAATTGTTTGCTAAGAGCTTTAACACCCTCCCTCACGCTTAGCATGGTATACATTATACATGTTAAGTTTGGAAATGAAAGAATTAAAATTCTTTGGTGGCAAAGTTTTAGTGAAGAAATCTGCAACTTGAGCTTAAGACTTTATTGGAAGAAGTTTGAAGATACATTGCATGACCTTTTCACACACAAAGTGACATTCAATCTCAAGATGTTTTTTTCTTTTCATTGAAAATCGGGTTAGCTGCAATGTAGATAGCGCTTTGGCTATCATAGTAAATCACAAGTGGTTTTTTGCATTGGATTCCTAAGTCTTGTAACAAGTATATCAACCATTGATGTTCACAACTAGCAAATAATAATGTCCTATATTCTGCTTGTGAAGAACTTTTAAAAATCGTTTGCTGTTTCTTTGCTCTCCAAGAAACCAATGACGATCCAATGAAAAAACAATAGTCTGAAGTTGATCTTCGAGTGTCAATGCACCATGCCTAATAAGCATTTGTGGAGCTAAGAAACTCATGATTGGAATCTCTTATGTACATGAGACATCTTCCAGGCGATCCTTTGAGATATTTGACAAATCTATAAGTTGTGTCATAGTGTGTAATTGTTAGTGATGAAAGAAATTGGCTAAGTTGTGTTGTAAAGCTAATGTCAGGCCTGGTAGTTGTCAAATACAATAGTTTCCCCACTGATCTCTTGTAGCCAAATATATCCTCATAAGGTGCAGATGAGTTAGTTTTACACATGGATCAAAAGAAGTTTTCACAGGTTTGCAACCAAAGAGACATGTGTCTTTTAAGAGATCCAAGCAATGCTTCCTCTGGAAAATGCTAATACCAATTTTAGAATGTGAAACTTCTATGCCTAGTTAGTATTTGAGCCTTCAAATATCTTTAATCTTGAATTTATCATCAAGTATGGATTTGGATCTTTCAATATCTTCAAAGATGTTGTCTTCTAAGATTACACCATACACCTACATTAAGAGTGCAATTAAGGATGTTCCCTTGAGGAAATGAATAGAGAGTGGTCAAAGTTGGGTTGTTTGTAACCTTGAGAGATTAGAAAACCTGTCAATTTTCCATGCCACTTCATGCTGGTCTCTTTCATTCCATAAAGTGATTTTAGTAACTTACACACTTGATTTTCCATAAAGTGATTAGAAAACTCTTTGTGGAACTGACATGTACACTTCTTCATGCAAATATACATGCAAGAAAAATAATATTTACATATAATTTGTGTAAATTCCAAGAATTGATAGAGGCTAATACAAGTAATATTCTCATAGTACTGATCTTTGCAACTAGTGAGAAAGTATTAAATAAATCAAGCCTTTCCACTTGATTATATCCTTTGGTTACTAATTTATCTTTATGTCTATCGATTGTCCCATCTGATTTATGCTTCACTTTATAAACCCATTTACTTCCAATAGGTTTAACATTGAGTGGTTGATCAACAAAAATCCAGATCTTATTGAGTTTTAATGCATCCAGATCAGAATTCATAGCCTTGATCCAACACTCATGTTTGCTAGCTTATTTGTAACTTGTTGGCTCAATAGTAACATTTAGAAATAGTGTAAAATGTTGTTGTGAAATAGGTGAGTTATTCAAAAAATGAGAAGTGAGTTCTCTCCA